TTTTGACGGAGTTCTATGCATAACCGGTCGACCGGTGTTTTTATAACATCACTGAAACAAATTGACCAGTTACACTGCTCACGTGGTAAAAACTAACTTTGTGTGATTTGTGACTTGAAACTAATTTAGGAAAACCTAATTGATGCAGGAAAATAACCTCTTAACCCTATAGATATACTCTTAAGGTCCATAATTCATTTGATTATCTATAGACTTTTAGGAGGCTATAATAAGAGCTTTTTGAGAGGAAAAATTGATTAAACCTTAACATCAAATTTAATTTTTTTTTTTTTACTCTTTTTGTGGTTAGAAGGAGTTTAAGATATTAAAAGGAGATTAAATAAAATGTGCTCACTCACATTTCGATCGTGAAAAAGAGAATAACAGAGAATATGAGGCTCTTCCGGTTGCTAATCTTGCAGGTTGTAGTTCTTCAAAGGTATAATTTAGATATTTGATATTTATATTATATAGCCTTATGAACAAGATTCGGTTTTGGAAAATGAAATTTTTATAATTCCGTTATAAAAAAATTCTTCCGAAGATTCTGGATAAACTTATTTCACCCTTTTAATCGATTTTCGTTCCGGGCCGATGGATTGTGGATAATTCTGTCTTGGAAAGAGAGATCCTTCATACCATGAAGTATAAAAACGGTAGAAGCGGAGTTATCAGAGTGAAAATTGATATACAGAGGGTCTGTGATAAGATGGAGTGGAAATTTATTCTTGTGGTTCTAAGGAAATTCGGTTTGGAGAGAAATTTGTCGGCCTTGTGTGCGAGTGCATTTCCACAAAATTATATGTTCTTCTGCTTAATGGTAGTCCTCTAAGAAAGTTCGTGCCGAGAAAGTGCTTTCGCCATATCTGTTTATTTTGGGCTCTGAAGTGCTGCTATCTTGGTTGTTGATGCAAGAAGAACAATAGGTTAGACTTCACGGCATTTTAATGATCAGCAGCTCCTATTTCTCACCTCATGTTCACGGATGACACGTTTTTGTTTTGCAGTTCTATAAGTATGTCTTGGTAAGTATGAGGCTTGATCGGGTGAATTAGTTGACATTTAAAAGTCTAGTTTAGTTTTTTCAAACAATTGCACAGGACTTCTGAGAAGAAATTTGTGTACAGTTTCGAGCATGATGTGTGGAAGAGAGGCATAAAATATCTTGGTAATTTGATGTTTTTAAGTTGGTGTAAGATCCAGGATTTTGCTTATCTAGGAACAAGTGTTTAGCTAGGACAACTTTAATTAAGTCTATGATGTGATGTTAGCCTATAAACTGCCGGCCTCTTCTTGTACAGTGTTAGACGCCCTGGCCCGTCGTTTTTGGTGGAGTGGAGATGTCCATAAAACTCGAAATCTTTCCATTCTTACCTGGGATTCCATTTTCCAACCTAAAAATTATGGAGGACTTGGTTTTCGCACATTTGGTGATATTAATTATGCCTTTCTGGTCAAGCTCACTTGGAAAGTTGTTGCAAACAATAAACTGATATGGGTACAAACTCTGAGGCCCAAATATAATCATGGCCTTTCTTCTCATGCCAACCTTGCCTTCATGACTCCTCAGTTTGGAAGGACATTCTAAGGGGTAAAGACCTTATCTCTTCTAACTCTTGCTTTGTTGTTGGGGGTTTAGGTAATATTTCCTTCTCTTTCAACCCTTGGATTCCATATGTATTCCCTATTCCCTTTACTGCTCTTATTCTAGGTGTTGCTTCTATCCCAAAGGTCCAGGACTAAATGTTTTCCAGTGGTTAGGGTTGGGATAAAGGAAAGTTATTGTCTATTTTCCAAAAAGATTATGGGGACTAAATCCTAAGTATCAAAATTTTGCCAAAACGTAACAGGATATCTTGTGTTAATTCTCTATTCGTGGTGCTTATTGGGCACCAAGAGAGATGCCTTCAATCCAAAATGGTCCTCTAAGTTGTATGAGCGATTAAGGTTTTCCTGTGGTGGTTGGGTACTAATATCCTACAAACTTTGTAACTCCTTAAGTGCTTCAATTTGTGTGAATCAGATATTTGCATACTGTCTTCTGCTTCAGAGGATTTATTGTCCATTTATTTAAAGATTATGTGGTGGCTAGAGCTTTGTAGTTTGGATGGAGATGGCTGGTTCGCTGGGATCAATTAGATTGTTCTAATCTAATGGACTTCCTTAATTTCATCATCAACCCACCTTTTCTCTGTGTTGAAACAACATTTCCTGATTCATATAGCCATTCTCACGGATCAAGTTTGGAAAGCTAAGAATGCTCTTGTTTTCTCCGGAACTGCTCCTGATATTCATCATCTGTTGAATGAAGTTAGAGGCAGGTTTGATAGGTTTATTACAGCCGCAACAAACCAACAATGCTCTGCGGATATGGTCCCTCTCAAGGCGATTCGCAACAAAGATGGCTAGCTCCTTCTCTAAATTCAATCAAAGTCAATTTTGATGCTTCTTTTGATGGATCTAAAGAGTGTTTAGCTGTTGTTGCTAGAGATTCTATGGGCCAACCACTTTGTGGTGTGGGTTGGTTGGGAGAAGGCCTCTTCACCATTTCATGCTGAGACTCTAGCTTATTTAAGAGCTCTTCGAATGATGCAAATCGTCAAGTTCTAGTCAATCTTGTGTGTGGTAAGCTATGTGTCTAGTTTGGCAGGAAACCCTTGCCTATCTATCTTACTTATCTCTTATTGCTTCCATTCCATCGTTGACTTTTGTTAGGGCTCCAAGGACTTGTAATGGTATGGCAGACCAGTTAAGCAAGTGGGCCTTAGACTCTTAGTTTAAAAATATTGACTCTAAGTGGGCATTTTTTTCAGCCGTTAGATCTTCTATCAGAAGTTGTAGCTGTCTATTATGTACATTTTCATCATTTAATGTAATTTTAACAAGACCTAATGGTCATAAACTGACTGTATCGATAAAGAAGTCCTATCAAAGAAGGACCCTTAATAATAAACTTTGCTTAAAGCTTTGGTCAACTTTTCAGTTACAAATCATATAGACGGATTAATTCTCATATGATCTACCTATTTGTGTATCATATAATTCGACACTCTGCATTTTTTCATCATATAGAATGTACTTAAGATGAGAATATGTTACACATGCTAATCACATTTATTTCTAGAGCTGAAAAAATATAGAATATAATCATTTGTCATCTCAATTTTTGAGTTGTGACCATCTTCATCTCTTTTATGAGATGACTCCATCTACCACATAGGCTATAATTCGAGCTATAAAATGAGTTGTATTATGCTGCCACATTCCATTTAATTAAGTAAGTGGGACTAATTTGAATTTCAGCAGGTAATGTGAGAGTATTGAAAGTTCATGGGGCAAAATGAGACTAACCCTAAAGTTTAAGGGCTAGAAGTGTGAAAAATCCTAATAAATGTTTCAAATATTTCAATAAATGAAATACCATGGCCAGGGTTCGTCTCAAAACTATAGTTGGGATTGGGGTCTAGGTCAGGATCCGATAATGGGGTCGGGATGTGGTCGTGGTTCTAGAACCAAGGTTGAGGTTAGGTTGGTTTTCAGACTAGGGCTGGCTCGTGTTCTAGCACATGGGAAGGAGCCAGGTTCTAGGACCAAGGTTAAGGTCATGTCGTGTTTTGGGATTTTTAGGGCTGGGATTTGAGATCAAGGAAAGGATCTGCAGAGTCAGGGTTCGAGACACATGACTAGGTCAGGTTCAAGAGTGCTTATAGGAATGGGCCATGGCATCAGGGTTGGGTTCAAAGACTGGAGTGAGGGCTGGGTTTTGACACATGACTAGCGCTAGTGTACTCGAGCGAGATTATACTAGTCGTGGGTTAATTATTATTATTGTTATTATTTTGTTTTCTGGTAATATCCTTCCAAACGGACGATAAGAGAATTCCAATTATTATTTAATATCCTCTTTGAAACGACACAAAGCTTTGTGTAGAGTGTTTTGACATAGAAGGTAAGGCATAATTGCTTCACTAGTATGAATGACATTGTAGTATTCTAATCAACAATAAATATACTTGGAGTAGATGAACAGTTTGCATTAGTTCTGCACTTTGGTCTATTGATTCTGAACACTCATGAATAACTTTTATTTTATTTTGTCCCTAATTAAGCTCCCGCATTCTACCTTTTAATAGATTGCTTGCCTAGATATAACAGTTTGAAGAAACAAAACCAATTAAAGGCACATGATAATGTATTACTTTTAGCTTTAAAACCTTTTATTCCACTTTCCACGTGTTTGAGCCGAATAATGTCTATACCAAGTCAGCAAACGGCAAGTTGTTTGTAAAGCAGCCATAATTTATTGTGTACATATATATATGCATCATATACACACATCTACAACCTGCCAACAGTTCCATTTTTTTTTATTATTTATTATAGAAAAGTTCAGACCTTGCATTTCAACAAGAGCACCCCTATTTTTGTTCGAAATACATATAATTTGGTGATGCTTTCCTGGAATAATTAGAAAAAAATGTAAATTGAAAAAAGGGTACACATCATCCAAGGTTTGACGACACAGACAAGGTCAATCTTTTTATTTATGGTCAAACAATAATACTAAATACATGTGTAGAAAATCTGGACCTACGTTGTAAAATTACTCACTATGTATATATACATATAACATAGATTGGACCGGGTGAAGTTTGGCGCTTGGCTGCTCCAAAATATACCTGAAGACCAAAAATCAAGCAACTGCTCAAAAAGTCTTTTGGCCATCACGGTCAATATTGTATTATTGTGTCTGGTTAAAGGCAACTTCTAATGTCATGTTATAATGAATCAAAGAACGCCAAATTAGATTAGTATTGCAGAAAACCAATCCCCTGCCCTCCCCGAAATTAATCAGGTTACTTTTTGATAAGGATGATGTATATATTGACAAGAGAAATTGTAAAAGAATAACATGTACATGTATATATATATATATATATATATATACATACGAAATGTATAATAGTTCACTCTGCGTTAGTCCATAATTAGGTTCACATACCCAACACCTAACAGAAACCTGGAAGTATTTGCCGGAAAAGACTTTTGCAAATATAGTCTATTTATTTACATATGAAACACATACAAATACACACTTTTTTTTTGTGCCTGAAATGAAACAGTTACAGAGATTTTCGGGAGGCAATATAACCATTGCATATGGTGATTGATGATCATGATCTTAAACACCCTTTTCTCTGATCATTTCTGTGCCTTGAAGTTAGAAAAGAGAAGAAGACCTAACTACAGGGAGAAAAAGAGAGAGGGAGAGAAAATTACTAGTGTTTTGCAAGAGCTGCCTAAGAGGGAGATAATTACTACTCATGATCAAGATGATAAGAGAAGAGCATTTCCTCCACTTTTCATCATCTTCTTGAACTCTTCAAAATTAACCATACCATCTCCATCCATATCAACTTTCCTAATCATTTCCTTGCAATTTTCAATCTTCTTCCCTTCATTCAATCCCAAAGAAGACAATATAGAGCCCAACTCCTCAACTGAAATTAGCCCATCTTTGTCTTTGTCAAACACATCAAAAGCCTCCTTCAAATCCTGATCATCATCATCATCGTAATGATCAAAACCTAATTCTTGTTTATTCCCATTCATGGGCACTGATCTTTCTTGATCACCAATCATGGACTCACACAACATGCCAAATTCCTCAAAGTCAATCAGACCATCTCCATTGGAATCGGACTTCATCACCATATCTTCCACCTCTTTGTCTGTCATGAAGATTCTGATGTTCTTAAGGGAGTCTTTCAGCTCCTGCTTTGTTATGAATCCGTCATTGTTCTTGTCGAACGTCGCAAATACTTTCCGAAGCTCGGCTAATTTCTTGCTGCTGATATTCCTCTCTTTTTTGTGTGGTAAGGAAGATTTGGTAGTGATTGTTGAAGTAGATGTGGTAGTAGTAGTACTAGATGAGAAGAAGGATTGTAACCAAGCATAGAATTTCTTGGTGGGAAAATAGAAGAACAAGTTAAATAGGCCAGCAATGAATAATATTGCTAGTAAGAGTAGGTTTAGCACCATCTTTTTCTTTTTTTTCTTTTTTGCTGGGTTTTTATTTTCCTGGCCTTGGAATAAAACCAAGAAGAAAAAGATAAGGAAGAACAGGAAGAGGAAGAAATGGATGGTAGAGAGAAGTTTGTCTGCTTGTGTGTATGATGAGAATAATTTTTATGTGAGTTGAATAATAACTTTTAAGCATTTTGAAGCTTATACGCGGTTTTAGGTGTGTGTACTACTTTTGATCCCCACAAACCGCGTGAACGGTAATAACTATAATATATACATTTATATATATATATATATATAGAGAGAGAGAGAATAATATTACGTTTTATGCGGGAGTGAGACTTAATATGGTAGCACTAAAATACATATAATTCTTTTGGGTCACTTCAAGTAGTCACTTGTCACTACTTGATTTCTTTGGTGAACTTTCCGGATCTCGATGTACATTAAACTAACATCAAATTTTCTATCTTGTCCCAATTCAATGCTGACATCGAAGGGGTTTGTTAATTAATCGCGTAAATATATTTTACACGAATCTCCAAAGTGATGAAATTTCACTTTTGTTTTAACACTTTTTTTTTTTTTTTTTTTTAATTCTAACCTGTGTAATTTCTCTGTGTGACGGGATATTTTTTTATTCTTGAATTAGGAGTGAAAGAATCTTAAACTCAAAATATTATCATTAGAATTGGTATAAAAGTACTAATAATTAACAAACTAAAGGCTTGTTTGGTATTGCTGCATACTTGGTTTTTTTATTTTTATTTTTATTTTTTTTTGTGTTTTTAGATCCAAAAGCTTCTTATAACAATGTTTTAATAGCTTTTTAAACCTCCAGAAGGGTTTTTATCAAATCTACAAATAGCTTTTTTTAAAAAGCTATTTTATAAAAAATTTTAAAACTTGTATCAGAGTTTTAAGAAGATTTTACAAAAATCACTCTAACCTTTTTAATGCTAATTAAAAAAAAAATTAACATCATTTTGGTTCCATTAAGTAGGTTTAAGAAATTCTTCTAGAAATAAACTGCAAAAATTATTAGTTTTTGCTTTTCAAATAGTGCCAAATAGGCCTCAAGTATGTGAGGCCGTAACTTTGACATTGTTATGATTTTAAAAGCAAAAGAAAGAAAATATCTTATTACTAAGCATTAAAATAACTTAGATAGCAATGTGGATTGATGATCATGGTGATTTGAAGGCACATGCACGCATAATTAGATAAACCATACGCAATTAACTCTTGCCATCGTGGAAGAAGCAAAATGTGTATACATACTTGTGTGTTGCACACCGTACCACCAGAGAACATTAGGCCCTACATCACTTTTGGGTTGTCCATGAAATCGAAACGAACGAGGCCTTAGATAGCAATGACTTGTCTTAATTACTACATATGGATTGATGATCATGGTGATTTGAAGGCACATGCACGCATAATTAGATAAACCATACGCAATTAACTCTTGCCATCGTGGAAGAAGCAAAATGTGTATACATACTTGTGTGTTGCACACCGTACCACCAGAGAACATTAGGCCCTACATCACTTTTGGGTTGTCCATGAACAAAATAGACCAAAATGTCAATATGAAGTTGAATGGCTCTACTTTGTTTCCCGACTGAAATAGTTATGGTTCAATGTGAACCTTTTTAAAGTTTAGTATTTTTTTTCTTTTATACTTTTTCGTCAAGTCTAAGAATAACTACGACTGATTTTCCTTCTCGACTATTTTAGTTCACCGAAAACAAAATTATCGTGGTATGCTCACTATTTAAAAAAATTTGCAAGAAATATTAGAATAATGGTAGACGGAATTGCACATGGACTTAATTAGTATGAAAACTAAGAGGGATCAAAAACCTATCTAACACTAGTCAAAAACGCGCGCGACTCAATTAGAACAACGGCTATATAAATTATTGGGAAAAAAAGAGAAAGAAAAAAGAAAGGATACAAAAATAGTAAGACTCGATATATTATCATTAGTATCTACATTACAAAATTAAATTATATACTATATAAGTTATATGTTAGTAATTTAGTCATCATTATTAGTTTATAAGTAAATAGTAAGTGTATTAAGAATAAATACTTAGTATATTAATAATGTATTAACATTCTAATTACTAACTAAATAATTAATTTTTAATTACATAATTAAATAATCATTTAATTAATTTTTAATGTTTATTAATAACCTATTATTTGATACATTACATCATCAATTTTTAGTAATTATTCCTTAAATAATCACTAAGTACTAATTATCAATAATTAATTGATTAATATATTACACAATTAATTGTTATAATTTAATATTAATTATTGATTGGTAATTACTATTCATTTCTTTAAAAGAAGATGAAGATGAGAAAAAACATTTTAAAAAAAAGGTTAAATACTATCAGACAAAAGTAAGAAAATGACAAAATAACTTAAAGTTTTGAAGGGTACTTTGTCAGAGGATAAATAGTAAACGCATTCATAGATATTTGTGCGGAAAAAAGAACCATCCGGGAGGCAATAACTGTATACGCTTGCTCTGTTCTGTTCAAAAAGAAGAATATATTGCTTACACGAGTATACATAGGGCCGGCTCAACAAGTTTTAGGGCCTTAAGCAAAGTTTCTAAATGGGGCCTCTTCAAATGAATTTTTTTTTTTTAGGGAGAAAGAAGGAAATAAATTAAGATTTGAGATGAATTAAAATTAATAGGTTAATAGTTTAATAAATATGTTAAATTATTGTTTTCGTCTATAATTTATCTGGTTATGAACCATAACTTGACAAGTTATTGTCCATAATTGTCTATAACTTGTCTGGCTATGAACCATAACTTGACAAGTTTGTCCATAACTTATCTGATTATGAATCATAACTTGACAAGCTATGACCTATTTATTTCTATAACTAAAAATTGACCTATATACTTTCTTAAGCTTTTTATATTGGTATATTTTCTACCATTTCCTTTTTTTTAAGGGAAAAAAAAAAGAAAAATGTCTTTTACCATTCTATATAACAAAATATCACGCTATATCTAAGATAAAAATAAAGTAATAATCAAAATAAGATTACAACAAAAGTCAATGTAATAATGTTGTTGAAAATACAATGTTAATGCTTCACAGAATTCGTCACTCTTATTTTCCATGGTCTTTTCTACCATCACTGGAGATTTTATTGAGATTTTGGTAGCAACGGTAGCCTTGTGAAGATCTTAGAAAGAAAATTTTTGTTTTGAGATTGAAGAAATACTATATGAAGCATAATAACTTTCTCTATTTTCTGTTAGATAGATAGAGTGTGAAAAAGAAGAGGAGAAGTGTTGACGGTGTTTTTCTGTTAACTCATGATTACTTCTCCAGAAACGACATGCGTTTACATTCACGGTCTAGTTAAGGATTAATGCACAAAAATAACACACGGGAGACAAGAGTTTTATAGTGATTCGGCAATAACTCTTTGCCTAATCCACTTGTGCATGCACTAATATTTTAGTCGGTTACAAATTCTCTCCCCTCTGATAATGAAATGGTGTCTAACCTTTTTCTGGGTTCTTTTTACTCTATTTATAGGCAATTACAAACAACTAAGCCTTCTCCGTTCCCAAGGAGGAAGCCATCTCCCATCCTCGATATTCAAGAGGGTAGGTGAGTTTTCATGATGACAATCTCAGGAAATGCAGCTGACCACTCTCATCTGCCGCACGATCCACTAACTCCTGCAGTAACCGTTGGATTGATGCTTCCTTCCCCGAGTTGACAAGACCGCTGATGGGCTTGACTCGGCGGTATGCCTCGATGCCGTGGCTCTCGAAGGTCGAGCATCTATCCTCGGCGCCTATCTCCACGTGCGATCTCTTGGCGTAGAGGGCACCTTAGCTACTACCACTCCTCTGACACCAACAGCCGAGCCAGAACGGGGAGTCCTCGGCGCCTAGTGTCGAGAGCACGGTCGATCCCTCGACCATGGTGTAACAATTACCCCCTAGGCTGGGACATCGTGGTGCGACTTTCCTGACTACTCAGCGTCGAGGATGCCTCGAGAGAAGAGCTTTTCTGCAGGTAGCAGCGGCGGCTTGTCAGCACAGTGATTATTGCGGTTGGTTTCTCGGGCAGCGGAACCGTCACATCAATCTTGTCAACAAGCACGTTCCCACTTTCCTGGCGCCACGTGGCCCTGGAGGACGAGCTGTAACCGTCCGATTAGACCCCTTTTTATTGCTTTCTCCCCAACCGTTGGTTCGTGCCTTCTCGTATTCGCCGTTGGATGGAACTGAATCGAATTCAATGGTTAGGATTTGGAGTCCCTTGGACTCCTAGGGCGAGTATTTAAACCCTCTGTGAGGGCGTTGAGGCTGCACATTTCCTTGAACGCCGTTACGCTGTCAGATTTCTCCCAGACGCCTTTGCTCCCTCGTGCTTCTTTGTGCTCCTTTGTGCTTCTTTCCCAGACCCACGTCTTCTGACAACTGGTAAGTTCTCGTTCCCCCTTGTTTTCACTATTGTCCTGGTGCCATTGCATGTAAAACAATGACCTTGTATCAAAACAAGAGAAAAGGGGGGAAACTGTCCTCCTCCGCCGTGGCCGGTTGTATGCCCGGGGCTGAGCTTGAGTTCTCAGCCCCTGGTTCTGGGAACTTTGGCTGGGGCCCGTTCTTCGTGCCTCCTTGCATTGAAGCTTGACCTCTCGACCATTAGGACCTAACTCCGCCCTTTGTTTGTTTTCCAGAGCATGTCGTCCAAACAAGCTAGGGGTCGAGAGGTCTCCACGTCCAGGGTGAGGGATGACCCGGTCGAGGTGGCGACGATGAGCTCGTCCTCAGACGGGAGTGTGGACTCTCTGCTTCGGCAGGTGGAGGATTACCGCGAGGCGTCGGCCTCGCTCTCTTGGTCAGACGAGCTGATCGTCCTCGACGAGGAGGACGCTGGTGGGCAGGCCGGCCCTGCTGAAGGCCGAGGATACGGGGTTGTGTCATCCGGTGGCCTCTCGGGTTTGGCCACGGACGTTAACCCGTAAAAAATTAGGCCTAGGGCCGCCCTGAAGGCCTTCAATGATGCCGGGATCGATCCTCTGCACTTTTA